TAATGGACCACAGCTGACAGTCAACATCACTGTGGGTTTTGCCTAGAAGAATGTGTCTCCATTTGAAGTGCCCCTGTCAACCTGGCACTCGATTTCCACCAGTGGCTTGATGCTGCTTGACACACAGTCAAGGGACTTGCCATGTATAGTCAACTTCTGTGTCTTTCACCCATCCCTTCTAGTCACTCAACTAGCGTTTTTGTTCTTATTTGCCAGAAGCAGAACCATGATCTTCCTTCAACTGGCTTATATTTTAGTTCTAGGTTGCTTCTCTACTTGATTAGTTTCCATCCGTTGCTTCTTGTCCTGCTTTGGAGAATAAGTTGACCCCCTCTTCTCTGGGGCAGCCCCTCAAATGTTGGAAGACTGCTATCGTGTTAGATATGACCCAGCAATGGAGCACAGTTGATATGTCATTCTATAGCACAATCCTTTCTAAAAGGAGCATTTTTGAAATTGTTTCATATTGATGTGAAACAAAATAATTATATTGAAATAAGCATTACTATGGCAACCAATAATCCCTTTTCTATATTTTGAAAGGCTCCTCCATTGATTCCTCCTCTCCTTCTCGCTTGGGCGCAAAACTTTCTCAAGAATCATAAAGCTAAGAGGAAAATACGTGGAGTCATTAAGCATTGTTCTGAACTTCTTCGCTTACAAAAGATGCCCGATTTACTCATGAGTACAGAGTTTCCAAGCCAACAGAAAACCTGCGTGATCTTCCTGGGCTCCTTCTTATTCTAGTAGTCCTTAGGGACAGAAGATCTGGGAGGTCTACTTGTCCTCAATCAAGCACTTTGGCACTGGAAATGAAATCTATATAAGTAAAACAGAGTGAATAGAGACATACCCCAGAGTGGAAAATAATCAAAAGGCATAAGGTGAATGTTCAGAACTGCTTAAAGAAACAGGTCTGTGGCCTCATGTAAAGTCTGCTAGTAAACTTTACTTTGAATCTCTCAACTCAACCTATTTCACCATATAGTTAGGAAAATCAATCAAAATACTGTAGAGCTGGAAGGGACCTTGGAGGTCTTCTAGTCCAGTCCCCCACTCAAGCAGGAGACCCTATACAATTTGAGACAAGTGGCTGTCCAGTATCTTCTTAAAAATCTTCCAGTGATGGAGCACACACAACTTCTGAAGGCAAGCGGTTCCACTGGTAAATTGTCCTCACTGTCAGGAAATGTCTCCTTAGTTCTAGGTTGCTTCTCTCCTTGATTAGTTTCCAACCATTGTTTCTTGTCTTGCCTTCAGGTGCTTTGGAGAATAGGTTGACCCCTCTTCTTGATGGCAGCCCCTCCGATATCTTTGAATAATTGGCCACATTCAGTGCCCAAAGAGATGGATATCATGCTGGCTTCCAAGCAATCTTATGTCAACAGGTGCTCTTTTGAGAGAGGAAGCTGAAATTGATCTGAAAATGGTGTGAGAGAAAGCCAGATAAATCAATAACCGTTGGAAAGCGAGGGAAAATGCTAGCTTTCTTTGCGTTCTTAGAAAGTTGATGGAATATTCTGTTCAGTGAATCCAGCAGTGCTTCCTGTAGCTGTGAGCTGCTTCAGGAGGTCTGTTGGATTCCCTGAATAAGTGAACACAGATGTTCACTGACTGTTCTCTAAGCCCAGAGAAGGCTAGAGAATATTCCTTCCTACTACTGTAGGATAGGGTTTGCTTTTTTTTTTTTTTTAACCCCATGGCACACTCAGATACTTAGTCGTATCTCAGCTGTTTTCTTCAGGCATGGATACAAACATCTAACTCAGCAGATAGACTTGAGCAAGTAAGAAAGAAATCTCCCTTGGCAGAGGGATAGAGCATGAATAGCAACGCTGGACTAACTACATTGGAGAATTCAAATTGGCCAGCAGTTCCATGCAAAATGAAATTTTAAATAGCACAGAGGAAAACTCTTCCACTTAGAAAACGATCAGAAATCTATAAGAGGCTCTCTAAAAATGCCATTTTACAAATTGCCCGTTGCTCCAGTAATTGTCTGGCTTTGGGAAAAGAAGAAAAAAAAAATGGTGAACTTGTTCCAGCTCTTTTCTGACTGCGGTTTTGGCTCCGTGACATTAAGGGAATTTATGATTTGAAGGATGAGCTTTATGAAGATCACCTCGCTCACCCTTCTGTCTTGGTTAGTAACTGTTATTTCTTTTGATGCTGTAGATTAAACGTGTAGCTTCATCTTTTAATTAAAAGTGGCACGGTTTTCTTCGGTTTGTTTTACATTTTATTCCTAAGAAACAGCCATTTTAGAAGGCGGCAGGACTTCGGAGAGTCTAGCTTGTACACTGCCCAATCAGCAGGCCTGTGTTTGAGACCTGTTGCTGGGCAGGGTGAGCTCCTGTCACACGCTCCAGCTTGACTCAGCAGTTTGAAAGCAGGTGACTGCAAGTAGATTAATGGGTACCACTTCAGTGGACAACTTCACCGGGAGATGAAAAGAATCCCCAACTGGACACCCCATGGGCAACAGTGATATCACCAGCAAATCCTTTCGCCATGGAACACTTTGATGTTTCCAACATGGGGGAAAAAATATCTCTTGATGAGACAAGAGGACAGACAGACAGACAGACAGATAATCATAAAACACATGCTAGATTCTTAGGGATTTCCACGGCTGCAGTATGTATAGCAGTGGTTCTCAACCTGTGGGTCGGGACCCCATTTGGGGTCGAACGACCATTTCACGGGGGTCGCCAAACAATGCAGTCTGCCATTTTTTCCCCCCTTTTCCTTAGCTGTGCTACTTCGTTTTATTCTATTGGCTTTTGAAAGCCAATAGAATAGACTCTCTTGAATAGAGTCTAATTCTATTGGCTTTCAAAAGCCAATAGGAATTGTCCAGGCTGTCTCTGCCCTGCTGAGCCCGCCAAAAGTCCCTTTCTGCAAACGGTGCTGCACCAGTTGAGTAGTCCTTGACTTACAACCGGTTGAGTAGTCCTCGACTTACGATGGGTTGGGGGTCGCGGCATTAAAAAGGTTGAGAACCACTGATGTATAGTCTCTTTTCAATGTCTTCTTTCTTGTCTCATATAATACCATTTTAGTTTTCTGCCGCAGCTTCAATTCCTATGGTTGCCTTATATTTTTTTATTTGTGTGTAAGAAGAAGAAATTAAAATATATTTTAAGCAACCCTTTGAAAGCTGAAAAACCATCCTTTGATGGTAGGGTTCATTGTCATCAACATGATGACTTTTTTTAAAGCGCTTATATGGTTATTTAAAATAGATAAAATACCTTTATCTAAAGACAGCCACGCATGTTTGTTAAATGAGAATTTTCCTTCTTTTTCCTCCTTGCTTGCTTTTACTGAGCAGTGATCTGATGGGGGTGTTTATACTTAATATTTAAATTGCTTTTTATCTCTGTATTAATTAATGCTGTTTCTATGCTCTTCTAATGCGTTGTCATTCATACGATAGGAATTCCTTTTAATTAGCTGTGGTATTTAAAGCGCTTTCCTTCATTTTTATATCTTTCATTATAACCACTTAGGACATTTGGATATTGTAAAAAAAGCAAGTTATTTCAGATATTGCTGAAATGAGAAAACACAGCTTGTTGCATTTCAGAATTTCACGCCAGCCTGTTCATGGGAAACCCCACACACTGGTTGCAAACAGGGAGGGTTGTGTATTTTTTTGGCAACAGTCAAGGGCCAAGACTTTAAAAATGTCTCTTGGAATATGGCCAGCAGTTCCCAATAACTGCATTTCAGCAAGTTATAAGTTATAAGTGTATTCAGCAAGAATACACCCTGCCATTCAAAAAGCAGATCCAGGAAGATGGATCAATCTTCTTCTTTAAATAAAAAAATCTTATATAGAGTTCCCAGAACCTTGATTTTAAAACTGCTCCTCTAAGGTGAAATACAGATGTTACTGCTGACTGGCCGAAAAAGTTACGGACAGGTCCAATTAATGTACAGAAACCACAAAGATGCTGGGAGGGTGGGGACAAATAGTTTAATTTCTTTTCTTTTTTTCCCCTTAATGATATATTTTGATACAGAGAAAGATCTGCATTATTCAGGGGCATAAAACAGACTTGGGATTTGGTGGTCTCGTCTCATGTCAGAAATGGAGGAACTAGACAGGGGGAAATTATTAATTTATTTTAAAAAAATTCAAAGAACCTTATGGATTCCTAATAAGATCCAATCTTGCTTCTCTGTTAATAGCTTTTGAGACATCCAGGAATGGGTGCAAGTTCAAAAACGCTGAACAAAAACACTCCTTCGCCCAATGCATTGTTAAATTTAGGCTGCTCTGCCTGAAGGCCCTCAACCTCGATGTTTTGAAAAGTCAACCAAACAAATTTGTGGTGAAGGCTATTGATAACAATTTGTTGTAGCCCCAGTGATGAAAGCAGCTAAACTTTTGATGTTTTTACTGCTGAATATCAGGGTGAGGGCCCTAACTGTGAGCTTCTTAGAGACATTTTAGTTGGTCAATGTGGAACTGACTACTAAACTTCACGGCCTTTCGGATGACATAACACAACGCCTACGTTCCTATTTATTTTGAAGCCTCTGCCAATCAATGTCATTCAGTTCAATTGCCTGAGGTCATAATAATTTGTGAATCTCTAAAGGAAGGGTGCAATGCTGTGAATAAAATGTCAGAAGAGTGCTGGGTAAAAGTAAAGAGATTTTTTGGTTTGTGAGCATTATGGAGAAGGGAGGGGAGGGGAGGAGGGGAGGAGAGCAGAGGGGGGAAGAGGGGAGGGCAGGACAAGGAAGGGGAAGAGGGGAGGGGAGAGGAAAGGGGAAGGGGAGAGGATTGGAAGATGTGGAGAGACCTGGCCCACAAAATCGCCAAGAGTTGGACACGATTGAATGGATAATATCCCCATCACTTTATTAATTGATTAATTTTGCAACCTTATCAATAAGGAAAAGGAAAAATAAAATACATAATTTAATTTCAGGATAAAATAGATGAATACGGTGATAAAATGCATATGGGATAATACAAAAAATCAACCTCAGATAAGCAAATTTCCCTTACGGGATACCCCAATTTGTTCAATGAGTTGGGTTCTTAGTTCGACTGCCTTAATTTAAAATTTAGCTGTTCTGCTTACAATGTATACATTATATACAGGGTGCTACCAAACTCACCTGGAAGGTCACTTCATGGAATCTCGAGGCTTCTCTGACCTCACCTTAGTCCGTAGCAGGTGGAAATGATGTGTTCATCTCTCCGCACAGCTGTTTCCAGGTGTTGTTCTGCCCTGCATTCAACCAGCTCACCTGATGTGCAATCTTACAAGCAGAGGCTCAGAACGAAATGGGAAACCCACCGCCTTTGATATGTGTTAACTGCAGGCCAGATGGCAGGAAAAGAATAGCTTTTTTTAAGGAAATGATGTTTGACACATCCTTTGTAGGCAACGTGGCACTTCTGGACACACTTATCATCCAGTCCATCAAATGTTACTTGACAGGCCTAGACATCTGACATCAGGGTAAAGACAGCCAATGTTTACATGACTTAATGAGCAAACGAGAGGTTGAATAGAAAGCCGCCAGAAATGAAATTATTTCAGTTTCTCTCCAACCTTTTTGGCAACCCTCTCCAAAATTAAACAGAGAGAACATCCAGCCTTAGAATTAAAAATTAAGGATAGGATAGGATAGGATAAGATATAGAGTAGAGTAGAGTAGAGTAGAGTAGAGTAGAGTAGAGCAGAGTAGAGTAACAGAATGGAATGGAACAAAACAGAACGGAACTTGTACCTTTTTAGGAACTCCTGTTATTGCTCTCTAAGTGTCAGATCTGCCATCTTCAGCTTTTGTTTTGCTGGCATCCTGCAGTAAAATTCTGCGGGTGGAGAGGGAAGCAAAAGGAATGTAGAGTAGTAAAAATGAGCATGGGAACTGGAAGCCAAACGACGAGAGGGGGGAGGCACCTGATGGAAACCAGAGGTGCCAGGAAGGGAGTAAACCAGCCTCCAAGGGCGCCTGGCCTGGGAACAAAATGTGGAACTGCATCCAGTGGCGCCAACAATCAAACCACTCCCAAAACATCTGGCCTGCCTGCTATTGGACATTGGTGGGCTGGTCAAAGGGGGAAAGGGCCATAGGAAGGAGAAAAATGTAATCTTTGGGCAGGAATATTCAGACCTCGCCTTCCTTTCACTGCAACCACTTAACCTTAGTAAAACAGCTTATCACTTGGACCAAACTGAGTCGATGGTCTTTCTTTCCTAAGGATTATGCTGGGGCAGGCCTGACACTAAATGGCTAATCTTTGCATTATAGCAGAACCAAATTTCAGAAGTTCATCTTTTGACCCCCCAAAAAATGAAAACCAAAAGCTGTCCGTTCATTTGAAAAGTTAGTTCCTCGCATCAAACCCTTTGTTTTATTTTTCTTTTTGCTGCCATTGCTTCTTCGTTGACAAAATGCTGATGAGGGACAGAACCCATATGATCAGCAGAAACAAACCTGAATCCCAAAGAACCCAGAGGAATGCAAGATCAGACTCTCAATGTATCTGCATTTCCCCCCCCCCCCGGAAACCTGCAGACCCAAGCAACTTCTGGCACTCTCCCAGATGTGTTTCTTCTCTCTCTGGGATTGCGGAAATATAAGATGTCAACACCTTTCAGGCCTTTGTGACACCAGGTCTTTTAAAAAGAAACCTGAACTATGAAACACTCCGATTTTTGGACAGATTGGAAAGTTGCCAAAGCTTCTGGATGCAAATAATGCCTATACTGGTTGCATATAAATCCGTTTCTTCCCCCATTTAACAATATAAAAGGCAAGGCAAGTAGTGGAAGTCTCTTTGGAAAATTTATTCTGGAGGAGAGGAAAGGGGAAAAAGAGTAAAGAGACAGTCTGAGTTGCATACCAAAATTATCTGCTTTAACAGAGAGTCGTTTTCAAACATATGCAGGGATTTAACAGATGATCATCAGAAAGAAATACATTTTATCACAAGTAAGATGCAGAGCCTGGCTAGATATTTACCCATGATTACTTCTTACCAAATGTCTGAATGCCGAGCTACATTAGAAAGGTTCTCTTAGGGAAACGATAGGAATATGGATTGTGCTAAATTGATTTCTAATCTAATAAACTCTGCAAAACCTTTGCTCACCTCGAGTCATTTGGAGCTTTAGTTTTTCTGCCACCATGGCTATAACTCGGAACTCTTCCTGGATCAACAGTTCCTTTTTTTTTACCTTATATACTGTGTATCTTCTTTTCTAAAATAAAAATAAAAATATTCAGATCATTAATCTATCTGTGAAACTACATTGGGCTCTGCTGTCATTATTGTCTTCTCACCTTGAATTAATTTCAGTTTTGCTTTTATTATATCCTTGTAAAGAACTCTGTCTCGGATTCTTTTTTTTTTCTCATGAATTCCTTCAATTCTGAAATCCTTCTGAACACCGCTATAGGTTTATTAATATTAAATTATTAGGAATATAATCATAATATAATAATAACAGAGAGGCATGCTGAATCTTTGGATCCCAAAATAGTCCGAATTATGTATTTTTGATCCATTTTTCCTACGAGGAACTTCATCTTTTCATATTTGGTCCTCACCTTATCTTAACCCTAACCCTCCCTTGCCATAGTTGTTAAGTGCAGTTGTTAAGTAACACGGTTGTTAAGTGAATCTGGTTTCCCCAGTGATTTTGCTTCTCAGAAAGTCACCAAAGGGGATCGCGTGACCCCGGCGACACTGCGACCATCATAAATACGACTCAGTTGCCAAGCATCCAAATTTTGATCATGTGACCACGGAAGGGGGTGCTGCAATGGTCCAAAGTGTGAAAAACGGTCATAAGTCCCTTATTTTCAGTGCTGTTGCAACTTTGAATGGTCACCAAGAGGACTGCCTGAATTACTGAATTTCTGGTGAATTTCTAAGCCTCTATGAAGAAAGCCGAAGGAGTGGATGTACAATGGAAGAGCACCTCCATGTGGTTCGCTGACGAATCCATAGGCTTAAAAAGAAAAACCCGCAGGAAAGATGTGTCAGCAATAAATTGGATAAATTGATTTAAGCTTAACCTCTGGGAATCCCTTCCTGCCTCTTCTTTTACAATGCAACTTCAAAGGGCTGAAGAGGAATAGGGGGGGGAAAATGCATCAATTCTGTGGTTTTATCGCCAGAGCCGAAGGTTCTGGCGATTGCACCCAACAGCAATGCTGCCATCGGTGGGGTCCCCGGCAGCCAGAAGAAAACTTACCTTGTATTAATAACTATATAAAACATCATTTCTAAGTGGCAGAAAGTGGGAGAGCTTGCGGTGTCTTTTAATTGTAAGAAAAATTACTTTGAGAGAAGAGTGCCTGCTTTATAAATCGACCTGCTTCCTGGTGTGCTAATTTTCTATCCACTCGAAGATTTTACTTAAGGGAACATTTTGAAAGGGTGACCTCTTACCTCTAGATTAAGATTATACGGTCTGATCTCTTCCAGTTATTGAGGGATTTAGGGCCTTTATTCTGCTGTTTTCGCAGAATCGAGATTCAGATGTGATCTGCTTCTGAATAAACACTACCAACATTTTTGAGCACAAAAATCTCACAGAGAAATAGCAAATAGCAACCTGAGAAAAGAGAGAGGGAAAATAATTGGGTCATCCATCACTATTTTCAGGGGAAAATGGAAGTCCCATCAACAGAGCAAATGGCTGGTTAAAAAAATCTTCCAGGGTTTTCCATCAAGTCACAGGAATCTAAATAGAAAATGAGGTCTCATCCTTTCTGTGCTCTCCCTTGTTTATTTGCACCTTCTTAGAGGAAAGAAATTAAGCATGAAATTAACTAATCATGTTGCTTCCACGCTCCATATAAATCTTTCTAAAAAAAAAAAAAAAGTTATCACTGTCCTTGGTGTCCAAAACGAGGTGGAAGGATGGTGAAGGAAGGAAGGAAGGAAGTCTATGTCCTTCAAATGAATGGCGAGCTTCTCTCTGGCTTCACAAGTCCATGCTTGAAGGAATTGCTGGTGAAGGTGACATCAACAGTCTTGCTACATCAAGGGGTTTGAGATAGAGACCACCTCGTATGGTTTCTACCTGTCCAGAAAGAACTGATGGAATTGGCATGTTGGAGATCCCTTCAATTAAACAATGACATCTTTCGGGACACAAGAACCACCAGTTCCCTCACTCCCTGAGATGCCATCATATCATGGGAACATCAAAACCCAGTCACTTTGGGCGTATTTTGTCCAGCAAATCCATCGAGGAAAAAAAGCTAGAGAGAAAGCATGGATGAAAAGAACCTTAAAACTGGACACAGGAAATACAAATGTCCACTTTCCAATGTAAATTGGCATGCTCTACAACTTTTACCCAACTTTGCTTCCCTTTTTGGATGAAGCTTCTTGGACCTTTGGAGAGATCTACTTGTTTATTTTGCTCTGGGGGGGGGAGGGGGAATAAATGACAGTAGCTCGTTTTAACCCAATTGAAAAGAGCTTCAAAACTACTGAGAATGGGATGTCACACAAAAGGACTACAATAACTTCCACCAGTACTAAACACAATTATCTCGGGAAATTTATGGCTTCGAAAAAAGCAATAAAAGTCCACATGAAGTTCTTCAGAGAGGTTGTGTATGTCTTAATTTAAGTTAAGAGCATTTGTGGAAATAAGCATCATGCTTTCTGTGACTTCTCCTAAAAGTCACAATAAAGCATGGGAGCTACATTTCTTGCAAAGCTCTCCTAATATAGAGAGATAAGCAGTTTTGGCATACAGTACTTCAAACCAAATCAATACTCCAATAAATATTTTTGTGTTTTGTGTGTGTGTGTGTGTGTGCGTGTGCATGTGTGAAGGGCACAGCATCTGAGTCTCTTATGGAGAAAAATTAACAGAAGTTTAGGCCTGAAAGAAAAAATCATACCAATTTTGTCTCCTTTACAAATTTGTATTTGGGCAATAAAGACAATTGTCTGCCATAAATCCATTATTATCATTGCCAACTTTATTAGTATATTTTTACCATGGGAGATATGATGTTAGTCTTTCTAATCTCAAATATGATGTTTAATAGGATCATTCAAACACGTCCTCGTGGTAGCTATTTTATTACATTTGCAACAGAAGATGCAATACTCAATTATCTTCTTTGCTATTGCTACTCCAGGCTCTTATCTAGAAGCCAAAACCACACTTACTGGAATAAGCTGATTTTATGACTCATATTATCTTCGTGGAGTTTAAAAGACATTCACAACCATAGCCTTACTACCACAGTTCATAATAATTGGTCTAGCCCTTAAAAGGAGGAACATTACAATTAATTAGTAGAAGAACTTCATGGAAATATTATTTTTGCTACTATGGGTAGCTTAGCAAAAAATGAACTCACGGTGTTCTGAAATCTTACCAAACTGACTGCTTTCGTGGCATGGATGGGAAGCATCTGTTTGCATCCATCATTCAAAAATAGTAACTGTGAGAGGGACCTTGGAGTCCTAGTGGACAAGCACTTAAACATGAGGAAGGAAGGAAGGAAGGAAGGAAGGAAGGAAGGAAGGGAGGGAGGGAGGGAGGGAGGGAGGGAGGGAGGGAGGAAGGAAGGAAGGAAGGAAGGAAGGGGAAGGAGGAGGGAGGGAGGAAGGGAGGGAGGGAGGGAGGGAGGGAGGGAGGGAGGGAGGGAGGAAAGAAAGAAGGAAAGAAGGAAAGAAGGAAGGAAGAGAACTAATGGCTTGCAGTGTGTAAAAAAAATCTTCATTTCATAAAAAAGATACTTAAAGCAGAAAAAGCACACTTGGTCTCATCCGATCAGATTTATTTTTTCCAAGTCTATTTATGTGGTTTCCTCATTATTATTTTTAGATGTTATCCTGCAGGCCCAAAAGGTGTTGGAAAAGAGGTTCCCTATTTATTAGAAGTGAAACAAACAAGTTTTTAAAAATTATGGACCTCGATGTCGAGATATATTTGGCTGAAGAAATAAAAAGCACTCTTCTTTCAGTGCTGATCTGTAAAGAAAGTCTTAGAAAACAAGAAAAGGCACACAGAAATTCTTTGACAGTAAAGCCAGGGATGTATATTAGAACTAAAAAGAATTTATGAAATTAGAGTGACAGGCAAGGGGATTTTATTGATGTGTCTATTCTCACATTTTGTCCTCTCTGGCTCATGGTATTAAACAACCCTGCCAATTTGCAGCTTAAATCGGCGATAGGCAGGTAGCGAAATAGCTCCTTTTTTTATCTTCTCTGCAATAAAAGGGAGGCTTTCTCCACATCCTAAGAAATCTCTTCTTCACAAAATTGCAATGGGAAAAGGTATTCTTTTTCTTCTTGTGGATGTGCTTGTTTTTGAAGACATTTCACTTTTCACTCAAGAAGCTTCTTCAGCTCCATTCAAAGGTTCGGCTCCAGATAGAGCTGAAGAAGCTTCTTGGATGAGAAGTAAAATGTCTTCAAAGAAAAACAAGAAAATCCAGTTGCCTCCTGAAAAAGCACCAATCTACCAAGAGGACGTGATTGTTTCCCTTCAGTGTAAATGGACCTTTGAAATGGGAGTTGACTGAAATATTTCAGCCTAAGACAATTAAACTAATGTCATAAATACAGATATGCAAAATTCCAGCCTCATTCCTAATAGAACATAACAAAGAAACTGCTGTTGCAACAGGAAGCAGGTAAGAATGTAAGGCTACACAATATATTCAGAAAGATTAACTAGAGAGAAACATGGATAAACTGAGCTCATAAAATTAGTCCTTGACTTATGACCGGTCACAAAGAAAGGGAGGAAAGGAAGGAAGGAAGGAAGGAAGGAAGGAAGGAAGGAAGGAAGGAAGGAAGGAAGGAAGGAAGGAAGGAAAAGGAATACACAGCAATGGCACACTCAGAGGATTTTTAATCTGTTTGCATATGAAAGGTACTGCAAGCACTCCTTCTGATTTACAGCTTGTGCGAACTAACACAACTTCCATCCTCCAAAATTAGCACTAATTCTGCTTTGGAGTTTGTGTGAATGCATATGCGGCTGATAAGCAACTGGTGATGCATCTCATGGAAACAGATATTTTCTTTCCAAACAAGATTTCAAAGTGCCTTTCATTTTTATTTTCTTGAGCAGCAACTTGTCTTGTAGAGTCATCTTGTGGTCCATCGTAGTATTACATTCCGTGGCCGGCACACCTTTGCACAGCAAACTATCCCACGTTTTGGACTCCTGCTCGAAAGCAATATTTCCATTTAGGGGGAGGGGGGGGGGTAAAAGTCCTATTGCCATCCTCCCTTGGCATACAACCATTAAGCCCAAATGGGGTTTTCTTGTTCCATAAGACTAATAGTCACGTGACCATCTCCTTGGGCGATCCTCTGACAAGCAAAGTCCATGGGGAAGCCAGGTTCACTTAACCACCATGTCGTAACAACTGTAATGATTTCGTTAACAGCTGTGGCAAGAAAGGTCATAAAATGAGGCAAAATTCACTTAAGCGTCTCGCTTAGCAACAAAAATTTGGGAGCTCCATTGAGGTCCTAAGTCAAGGCTTGCCTGCATAACCCACGGCATTGCATGGATATTCTGGGGAAGTCACAGTTGTGAAGCAGTAAGAGAGTAAAAGACTGTGAGAAAGCACTAGAGACTATTGAATTAAAGACCTTTTCAAGTTACCAACAACCACAGGATGCTCAACACATTTGCTCAAGGTTGATCCAAATGTTATTCCCACGAGAACTGGACTCTTTTCAACCTTAAGCTGAAAAGGGAAAAAAAAAAAAAAAAAAAACTGGCCGCCATGCATTAGATTAGACCAAAAATGCCTATACTTGCAGAGCTATGCTTCTGTTTATTGACATTTGATATAAATACTTGGGCTTTGTTAGGCTCAAAATAGTCTTGGGAAGCTGGAAAAGCCACATATCCTACGAACGCACATTTTAAACTGTCCATTTATTTTCTTGCATAAATATACACGCTTACTTCGCCCCAGGTAAACTACCACCATGTCCGCCAACAAAACTCTGGCGGCCATTTTTGGCGGCTTCTCCTTTTATAAACCCAGGAATCCCGCCTCCTCCGTCACTTCCCCGCTCGGGATGGGTTTTTTCTGAGTCGTCCCGGTTTTGATTGGAGAGAGCGGCCATCACTCCATATTGAAAGAAGCGGAGGGAGGCATAGTCGCCGTTAAAAGAAACGTCGAGAGGAGGAGGAGCCTGACAGGCCCGAACGCGCGTGCGTGAAAAAAAAAACCAACCAAGAAAAGGCGCCCGCGCGCGCTCTCCCTACCGCGACGATCCAAACCGCGCGAGATCTCGTCCCAAACCTTTCGGTCCCGCTGGAGCCCAAGGGGCAGTTCTCGCGCGAACGGGAAGAGGAGGGAGGGAAACGAGAGAGAGGAAAGGGAGGGAAGGAGGAAACGAGAAAGGGCGCTCAAACAGTCCGCCGTCCGGGCGTGCGCAGGCGCAGCGCAAGCCGCGCGCGCCTGCGTGCCTCTCTCGCGCTCTCTTTCACTCCTCCCCCTCCCCTCCGCGGCCCCTCCCACCCGCGCTCGCCGCTTCTCCCGCCGCCGCCGCCTGAGGGAAGGAAGGAAGGGAAGGAGGGAGGGCGAGGGGAGGAGCGGAGCCCCCGCCGCGTCACGTGACGGCGCCAGGCTTTTAATGTTTACATTTGAGGCAGGCGGCCCGCGGCGCCGCCCCTCCCCCGCTCCGGGCCCCGCGCGCCGCCTCAGTCGCCTCAGCCGCCCCTTCCCGGCGACCGTTTTGCCGTCCCTCGCGGGCTGCCGAGGCCGCGGTCCGCCGGCGCCTTCGGGGCCACGACGCCCGCCTCCGCCCCCGCCGCCGCCATCACGACGAGCCGTGAGGAGAGGGCTCAGAAGGAGCCGCCGCCGCCGCAGCCGCTCGGCCTAGAGCGCCCGCGACGACGCCGGCCCGCGCCGCCCGGGCGGGGAGCCGAGGGCGCCCTCCCCAAGGCCGGCAGCGCGACGGGCCGCTTGGCCCGCGGGGCCGCCGCCGCCGCCGCCCTGGCCATGGAGGAGCTGGTGGTGGAGGTGCGCGGCTCCAACGGGGCCTTTTACAAGGTAAGGCCGCCCGCGCGCCCGGATGGCTGGCTGGGCCCGCGAGGGCGCTGGGGGAGGAGGGGAATCCCCTCGACTCGACCCTCCCCGGCCTGCTCGGTGGGAGGGAGCGGAAAGCAGCCGCCCCGAAGTGGAAAGTTGCGCCTTCCGAGCCGGCCCTTCCTTTTGCCGGGGGAGAGGAATGATCGCAGGGACCCCGGGCGGAGTTTGCCTCGGATCTGGAGGGAGGGAGAGATGGGGGGGGCGCTAGGGTTAAGCCTTTAATGAAGCATCAGGAATCCTTCCCCCCCCCCCCCCGAGTTTGGATTTCTATGCATTTTCGTTTCTCTTCTCCCCCTCCGTTATTGTGTTAGAGATCAAAGGCCGGACTTGTCGGTTGGTTGCAGATTGTGGGAGCCCTGTAAGGGTCGGGTCTCGGGGACACACACACTCGCCAGGCCGCCCTTGGAGAAATGCCACTCGAGGGGAGGCATTTGCAGAGGTGTTTCTTGAGCCTTTTTCTCTTTTCAAAAGGATGGAAGACCCCCGAAGAGCTTTTGCTTCCAGGAATATGCCTTACACGTTATATGTATGTGTGTGTTTGTATTTGTGTGTACATAATGTATGTGTGCATGCATGCATGCATACATACATACATACATATATATATATGCGTTTGTGTATATTATGTATATACATGCATTATATATACATGTGTGTGTATATATGCACACATACACAAACATATGCGTCTACATTATGTGTGTGTATATATGCATATGTATTTTTATGTGTGTACATAATGTAAGTGCATATGCATATATATATATGTATACATAATATACATAATATATGTATATTATGTATACATAATATATATTATGTATACACACAAGTATATTATGTATACACACAAACACAAATATATACATAATTATATACACACAAACACATACATGCATAAAGAAAAATATTTACCATATCCATAGTGAAAGTAGATGCATTTGCTTTCACTATTGGTTCTCAGGTTGATGGACTAGGATTTTCAAATTGGGTTCTTTTTCTAGATAGGATGGTAAATCACTTTATTTTGCAGATCCCTGGGGAGGGTGTTGGGGACCTCCCCTTTTCTGGAGTCCTGGGATCATGTCTTGAGAAACACAAGTATACAGCACTTTGATGGAGATGAAAAGAGGGGTCTGGCGGGAGGTAACAGGTTGCAGGTTGAGGAAAAACTTGGGAAGAACCATCTGAAGAATCTGAATGAATACTGATAATGTTACTAATGGGTAAAGTAAATCAAATACCCTAATAGTGGTTAGCCAGCCAGAGCTGTGCTTTTGAGAGTGGCAGTGTGTAAATTAACAAAAAAATAAATAAATTGCATTTTACCAAGAACAGGAGAAACAGTTTGTGTGGTGGTCCATCTGAATTGCTTTCAGTTGCCTGAAATTACATATATTTTTTTTAAAAGATTCAAAAGGATCATTGAAGCCAGGAATGCAGTGCTTGTTATCTATGGTTCAAATTAGAAACTTACCTTTAGTTATGTGTCCTCAAGTCCGTGTTGACTCTTAGCAACCACATGGCATACATTAGATCTAGCTTATTTTCTGCTGAAGCAGCTAAGCATCATTAAGTTTTTTTTTTTTTAAATGCTCTGGCGTAGGATTCTAATGTGCATACTTTTGTGGTTTTTTTACAAATTTTGGTCATTGAGCAGGCTTACATAACATAAGACATAGGGTTAAATAATAAAAAGAAATAAATTTGACCAATCCAAATATAATTTGCAATCTAAGTCAGTAATGGAAATTCACATGCTATAAGCATATTGTTTTATCAGTTCATCTAATAAGCAAGTGCTTATGTTAACAAAGGAATGCATGAACAAGGGAAAAAAGCATTTGTTGTTATTCAAATTCATGCATAGAAATTCAAGATAATCTTGATTTGTTATGTGGTTCTTTCAGAGATATGATGAATATATGTACTAAATTTTGTGATCTAGCAATTTTAATTTTTAACCAGCTAGATTTGTGCATATTTTCAGAACATTAAGTTTCAATGTTGAAAATAGTTTTCCACTGTTAGTATAACTGAAGCATAAAGAACAGCTCCTTCTGTAGTGTATATTTGTTACTTGAGCATTGCATTGCATTTATATCTTTATTTAATAGTATCTTGCTAACCTTGTTTTCTGACTTTGTTCTAAATTTGCAATACCTAACTTATTAAATGATTTCTTTTATTTTTAGATTTCAGAGTTTAACATCTGACCTAACAAGCAGTTCAGATTAAAATCGCATAACCTATGAATTTTCCATTAAAACAGGGGCTCTCAAACTTTGTAATACCACAATTGCCACCAGAGGATAATGCAGGCAAAGTGAGAAAGTCCAGAACAAGTTTTGACAACATTTCCACTTTCCTTGCAAGGTTTATAAGTGTGAACTGCCAACACTGAACTGCTTGAAATCTCTCTGGGGGTCCTAATCCACAGTTTGAGAATCCCTGAATGAAAGAATGAAATAAAGAGAAATCAGTTCTATTGATGTTTGCATATAATACCGTTTACAGTGAACCCTATCAGACTAAACAGCTGATGTCTTCTTTCTCTGTTTCAACAGCTAGTTTGATTACATTTTTATTCTGGTCAGACTAAAACGCAATATTCTCATAAGGTTTATCCCATTTACATCAGTGGATCTTAATTTTCAAGATAATACATTTAATGTTAGGATTTGAAAAAAACTGCCAGCATAGCCAAGTATATTATCCTTACTTCAAAAAGATATGTCTGTAAGTTCAGCATTGTAATTTGTTGTAACAGCCATTAAATTCAGTGTGACTTTGTATACCCTGAAACAGTCAGCCCATGAATTTTAATACAAAGAGAATAGCATAACAGTATTTTGCTTTTGAAGTAGTACATTGAAAGCTTTTGTCCCATATTATAGCTCCCTGAGTGAAATTTGTGTTCTTTTTTTACCCAGCCAGTGTGAAATCATCAGGATGTGATAGTTGCTTCATCTCCACTTCCACTATGGCAGTCTAGTACTTTTGAAGAAAAATATATTAGGGCTATTTCATCAAAATATTTTGCCCAGTGATTTAAACTTGGCTCAAGATGTATTATTTGAATCTCAGTGCATTTTTTCTCTAGCACCTCACAGTCCAGTTTCAATCTTCACTTGCTTACAATGAGCATAGTTCTGTGACCGGCAGCAGGCCTAGATTTTCAGCCAGCAACTGGTGTCCTAGAATGATAGCTGGCACATCCATGAACATGACATACATTTTTTTTTTGAAACCTTCAATCTGTCCCATAAGTAGCCAGGTTGTTTTCTATGGATGGATCACTCCTATCCCCATGATGCTTTTCCAATATAATATATTTAGAATGTTCAAAGTGGCCCTCTTGTGATAAGAGAAATATCAAAAATAAACTAATATATAATATGCTATTAAATCTTATTTCTTTCTTTCAGGCATTTGTGAAAGATGTCCATGAAGATTCAATAACAGTTGCATTTGAGAATAAGTAAGTATTATCTGGAATTGACCTTATAAAGATGTAACTGTCTAAAAATGTGATGCTGAACAAATTTAGATTTTGAGTATAATGTCATTCTTGCATACTTCCAAATATTTCTTTCCTGAAACAGGTTGTTTGATAAATAAATCCTTTCTTGGATTCTTGGAAGCTGATTAGGGCAGTGCTACCCTCTCCATCCTTATGGAGCCACCTTGATGAGCTCTCTTTGTAGCCATCGTCCATTAATGTTCTGCATACCAAAACTTGCATAAGCTTTTGTATCTTTGTTATTCTTGGGATGAGCAACCTAGCTTCATGTTATATTTATATCCCAAAGAATAACCAGAAAGTTTCACATGGGATGAAATGCAATGAACAGCAGTTCTTTTTCAAGAGAGCTGACTTCAGTACCCATGCTGTAAATCAAGGTGTCAAACTGCCGGCCCATGGGCTGGACGCGTCATGCAGAAGCCACACCCACCCCATTGCCGGCAATGGCAAAACTGCCCCGATATGTTGCGCGACGTCACGAGTTTGACATGTCTGCTGTAAATCCTTATATAGTTAAAACACTATCCCAATTTTAGTAATAAACTCAGATTGCAACTTAGTTCTTCTTTGGAAAAGATACTCTTGTTTATTTTTATTTTTTAACAATATAGTGTAAAGTATATAACAATATATTGCATCATTTCTCTGCTGGGCACTGAGGGAAGCATAATCTTCCCCTTTGCAAGTCCTATTTTATTTGTGCTAAGCACAAAGGACTGAAGGGGTTCTCCATTCTTTCCCCACCTTCTGACTTACTTGAT